CGCAGTTAGTGTTCGAGATGCATGCATCATTGCTTTTTGTGAACCATCTGGGAAAACATGTAAAATGACAGCTCCCACTCCGCTTGCTGAAGCGTCCGCTGCAACTATAATTGGAAGTGTTGGACTATAATGTGTCAGAAGCAATTCAGAAGTTAACATAGACTTCAACTTTTCAAAAGCTGATCTGCAAGCTTCGGACCATTTCCAGGTTGCATTCTTTTCGAGTAGTCGATTGAGAGGATGTCGAACATTATGCAGCGCAGAGAGAAATGCCGAGTAATAGCTAATTAATCCCAAGAAAGAGCGTAAAGAAGGCATTTTAGTAGGTGCGGGCATCTCTTTTATAGCACGTATGTTGTCAGGATCTGGACGTCTACCCGATGCATCAAATATAAATCCAAGGTATTTGACAGATCTCAAGGAGAACTGACACTTCTCTGAGCGTAGTCGTAGACCGTTATCCTGCATGCGTGACAAGACAGCTTCTGTCCTGCTTTAAAGTTCGTTTATAGAATTCGCTACCACCAAGATATCATCAAGATAGACGGCAACGCCCGGAATACCTGCCAAGTAGTATCCATCAGTTGTTGGAAAATAGCTGGGGCAGTTTTAACTCCGAAAGGTAATCTGTTGTATTGGAACAAACCGCGATGTGTATTAATGGTAAGGAGTTCTCGGCATTCTGGAGCTACTTCAACTTGTAGATATGCGTCAGCAAGATCCAGTTTTGCAAAATAAGATCCACCATTTAAAACAGTGAATAAATCATCCGCGGTAGGTAAAGGATAGTGGTGCTGTTCTAATGCAGCATTCAACCCAGTAGAGAAATCAGCACAAATACGTAGGGACCCATTCGCTTTCTTGACAACGACGATGGGTGCTGCCCATGCCGAGTACGTGACTGGTGTTAATACGCCTTGTTGTTGCAGTCTCTCCAATTCTTCGTCAACTTTTGGTACAGATGCATATGGGACTGGCCTCTTTGGGCGAAAAACCGGTTTTGCGTCTGGTAATACTCGAAAGGTAGCTTGCAGCGAGGTACAGTGACCTAATCCGGATTGAAAAACAGGTGCAAATAGTTTGCATAAATCAGAAAAGGAGTTGGCTGAATTTTTATCCTTGTTAACTGCGTTGCATACAGAACTAAGTGGGACATCAGCCAGATGCAAACGATCGAACCAATCAAGTCCCAAAAGATTTAAATCACTCTTGGTGACGTAGCAAATTCCTGTGAATTTGGTATTGCGGAAGGAAACGGAACATTTGAGTTCACCAATTAGTTTGAGCCGCCCACCACAGGCGCTGACAGCAGTCTGAGAAGTATTTGCGATTGATGGTCTGCCAATATTATTCCAAAGTTTCTCTGATATAACAGTAATATCAGAGGCGGTATCTAGCTGCAGACGTGCATCATGACCATTCATCTGAAGATCAAGATATTTCCGCATACCTGGTGCTGTGACTTGACAGGCTGCAACTAGACTCATTGACCTTATTGGGGAGTTAGGACCAACAGTTTGTCGAGCTTTCGCTGGATTATGATATCTGGGTTTGCGTGGCTGACAAAAACAATTTTTATGACCGATGATTTTTGTATGGACAGGACTTTACAAAGTGCCACGCGCCACAACGCCAGTATGGTGATGGTGGGGTCTTCTTTGCAGTATTTTGTGAAGTTGGACGAGTATGTGTAGATTTACGCGGAACATTAGAAGGTGGGTCAGGAGTGGATGATGAGAGATTTTTGCTCTTTCGTAATGCATGAATATCAGAGCTTCTCGAAGGTGTTGATTCGATCAGGTGTGTGTCTTTCTGCAGATTAATCAGCCGTTGATATTCATCAGCTATGTCATGTAATGTTAACTTAGGATTTTGTTCTAGCTGATTGAGCAGTCGAGTTCGGATATCTGTGAAACGAGGAGATTGAAGACTGCATATGAGGATCAAGGCTTTGAATTGATCATCTGTTAAGGACCTGAGTCGAAATCTCTCACATTCTCGGTTGACTGTGCCAACGTGAGTAAGAAAATCATCATTTTCATTCATTGCCAGCTTGAGGCAACGATAACGTATACTGAATAATGAGGAGTGGTCTCCGAAATGTTCACGCAGCAACTTTATTGTATCATCGAAACAATTGTCACGTGGTTTTTGGGGTAAAATTAGGTTGCAGTACCTTTCATATTCTGCGGGACCCAATTTACGTAATAACACTCGCACCTTCCAAGCATCGTCTTGTGAGGCGAGATCAACTGTGAATAAATCCTCATATCGTTGATACCATGTGTCAAAAGTGACATTCGCACAGTGCCGTCGACAGATGGCAGCATGGTGTGATTGGGATTGCTTGAATGTGAAACTGAACCAGTCTGTTTGTTAATGAGCATTTCAATTAATTTCATTTGTTGCTCAAATAGTAATTCCAATTTAGAAGAATCCATAATCCCATCCTTGTCGCCAATTGTGTTATGTGCTCGTCGAGTAGTTAATAGTCCTGACGCGGAAAGGGGGAAATCAGAAGACCACCAGGTTTACGATGATACTTGTATTTTTCAGACAAGGAAAATAAATGTCACACAAGTGTGTGAGTGGAAGGGTACTTAGATGTACGAAATGTGTGTGAACCAGAAAAGTGAACAAGTGTCTAATACAAAAGTATATATGGAAATGGCTAATACACATGAACCAATAAGATAACGTCTTACCAAGATCGGTTGTAATGTCATGTGATAACAAGGCCATACATTGTTTATCTAGTTAGTGGACAGACAAAAGCATACTGTCAGTTATAATGAAATATCGACCCATTTACATATAGCAAGATATAATAGACTATCAAAAACAAAACACACACATCATGTGGGTACATATCACTTACAAAGCGATAATAAGTCTTTCTTATGGATTATAGATTCAGTACTTCCAGTATCAATTATAAAATAGTGAGAATTGCCTGAATTTGTAGTGAAGGTTCTTATCCGATGAGATTCAGGCCTGTGAAAAGTTGAAAGAGACATTGACCTCATTTTACCAGAAAGTTTGGGAGAATCATGAGAATTCTGAGTAACATTAGTATTTGAACTTCTGCAAACAGACTTTATGTGCCTAGTTTTACCACATTTATGACACTCACCACCCCGAAAACATGGTTTAAAGTTTTTGCTCTCTCGCTGCATTCCATTACATGTGGATAACAGTTTGGATTTCTTTTTATGAACACTTGTATTATCAACTTTGGACAGCATGGCATCAGACACCGACACTGTGGAAGCTGGATAATCATTGTTGACATCACATGTAATATATAAGTCTTTAGGAGTTTGAAAGGTACAGGAAGGAATCTAAATCAACTCCTTCTCAGCAATTAGACGATCACGTAAATGAGTATGTAGCTGATTTCCTGAAGAATAAAGTCTCTAATCTTCTGGTTGGGAGCACGAACCAGTTTACTGAATTGAGCCCTCTCTCGTGTTTCAAAAGTTGTCATGTGGAAGTGATCCATTAGAAGTTCACGGAGCTTATCATATGGCAGAGAAATTGGTTTATCAGGAAGCGACAGAGTCTTCACTAGACTGTACGCCTCTAGCCCAATAGCAGTAATAAAATGAGCTGAAATTTTGCATCACGAACATTCTTCGAAATGCACCATGCGTCGAAACATTCAAGGTAATCGGCGATTTCCCGCGGTGAACCATTTTTACGAAATTTTTCAAGGTTATCCATAGCGACGACAAAATGTTGTAATTATTTGTAATAGTAGTATTAGTATTTCTAGATGACCGAATTAAAGAAATTAAACCAAAACACAGAGAGGGATGAATTCAGGAATTTGTATTTGGTGGAAATATTATTCAATTCATATAAGAAATATATTGACAAGCAACAGTAAGTATTTAAACAACACAGTGATAGAAATTGTCAATCACCACTGATACATAGATTTTAAATAGAAGCAGTGTGACACTTGCTACCGAATATCAAAATTATTGATACAGGAATAGAATTTAAGTACTATGGCAGAGTACATAATACATTTATTTGATAAAATCACAGTTGTGCAGTGTTACATACTAATGACGTTCTTAGCATGTCTTATTACTCACAGTCATACCAAGGCACTAACATAACTTTCAAACTTTGTTTATGCAACTCCATTATTTCATATCCTTTGATTTTCCTTTGGTAATAATATTCTCCATACCTATGGTATCTGCATCGTATTACTCCCAGTACACGCACTAGATGTAGGTTTGATGAACAAAGATTAAGTGATCAACACCTCTCTCCATCACACAATAAAGTGGGAGAGAAATACAGTTCTCAAAAGTGATACAGTCAGGTTGCAACAAGTGCAATAGAAGTCAATACCAGAGGTACCACTGCCAATAAAATCAAAGCATAAAAAAACAAAGAATAACATTTTTTTAAAAGTTCTAAAATAAGCGTGAGTGCTATGAAATGATTATGAACAATGAATTCTCGAGATATCATCAGAAAATAACACTGTATCGCCTTGCTTTTATCAAATAAAAATATCAACGTTACTGTTTAATCTAGTCCTTATTTTATAATTGACCATTATAATTCACACAAAACAAGTTCGTCTCCGTTACTTGATTAATTCAGTAAAATAAATTCAAAATCAGTACTTGAGGATATGATCATTTTTACTGAAGAAGTCCGAACGGTTAACGAAATATCCATTTAACAAAAGTGTTTCCCTTAGAGTCCACCTAGTTAAAATGATGCCTTGTAATACAATTGTTCATTCATATCAATCAGACAGATATGGATGATTTAAACAGATCTCTTCTTTGAACGATTAAATCAACTCAAAACCTATAAATGATCTTCTCATATATATATATATATATATATATATATATATATATATATATATATATATAATCATTCTGATGTGATTGGTGTGATCTAGCGATCAGTTAGATTAAAACCTCACTACTTATGTTATTTTGAAGTATAAAACCGAAGTGATGAATTGTTAGTAGAAGAATCTGGATATACAAAAACTTAACTTCATTATGCAGTGCAAGAATAAACGTGAATATATCTAATTTCATTTCTACCCGTTAGCCAATACAACCAGCTCCTCTAGAGTGTATTTGTGCCACCTTTATCACAATATAAATATACTCTAGCCACGTGATCAAACAATTTATTATTTAGTTGTTGGCCTATTGGTTATTTCTTAATTATGGTGTCTCATTGTTACTTTACTTTATTTTATTTATATGCAATAACTCAGTTTGTTCAGTTAAAATATTAACTTTTGCGTAAAAGCAGTTACCATTTTAAAGGTATTGAAACATTGAAGTGAGTAAATTTTCTGTCTGTGTAAATGTGATTATCTTTTATAACAGAGGCCAGTCTTTAATATCCTTTATCAGTTTTGGTAATTCATATGTACGATGTAAAAACAAGATTGGCATCAATGTAAATTCTTTTTAATACTAAGGCATTTTATATGACAGGTTGGGATTATCTGAAGAAATACCGGTAAACTAGGTACACTCCATAACCGTTTTATTATTCACTAAAAAACTCGTTAACAGCAGGTCTATGATTATTTCGTAAAACGTTAATCTATGGTTATTCAGTCAAAAAGTGGAATTTACTGATACATAAATTCCAGTCATTGCGTAATTAAAACCTAAGGCAATCATTACACTGTGTTATATATTTCCAAGTGTTTTAATTCCTATGACTAAAGAAGGCAAAAAGTCTGGTTAATTCAGTCAATAAGATGGGATGAATTCTGAATCATTTTTGTAATATAGTGAGTGACAGGGAAGTCAGATGTCAGTAGGAGATCATTTCAATAGGGGAATGTTTACAGTCTGTTCTCATCTTAAGATAACATCGCCTGAGGAATGCTAAGTTAATAGTAAAGTACATTTCTTTTCATGTCAGCTCACAAGATTAAGAATTAATCACAGTAATTGTGAATGAAGACCTATATGTTCCACTGTAGGTACTAAAATGGAGTTTATAGGTGATCTTTTCTTTTTTCTTTCTTTTTACATGACTTGCCTCACTCTGATGAAATAAACTTTATGAAGTACGCTGATGATTTAACAGTTTCAATGGCTGATAACTCCCAGCTAGATTGTATCAAAATAAATAGCTTTCTGTCGGGAGTCAGTAAATGGTGTGAGTCTAACGGCCTTAAACTGAATCCTTCTAAATGTCGAACTGTTAATTTCAGCTTAAGATGTAAAAGACAGTTAAAAGAAGTCATCGATTCTCATGACAGTTGTAAGATTGACGACAATGATATAGGAATCAAATCAGAAATTAAGTATCTTGAACTTATTTTCTCTTCTGATCTCTCCTGGTCTTCCCATGTCCTAGCCATCTCCAGTAAAATATTCCGCCTGACATTTTACATTAATAAGTTAAGGCACTCGGGTATAATTCAACCCCTCCTCTTACAGTTCATAAACTCTTGCATCCTACCTATTCTTCTTTATTTTTCACCCTTATTCTTTCCTGGTTTGCTTAAAAAGGACTATGTCACAATTCGTAGAATGCCGAAGACGGTCAGTAGGGTGAGTGGTGTCCCAGTGAACCACATAGTTAATGTTGTTATTGATAGGCACTTAACTTCGTGCAATAAATTTGCTAGAGGGATTTTGTCTGACTTGGAGCATCCACTTTACGCTCAGCTTTCACTTTGCATCTCCTCAGGTAGAACAAGAAGTAACTGCAGAAAACTGTATGCTCGCACGTCTAAGTATAGAAATTCTATGATGCCATACTTGGCACCTATTTTATGTGATGAAAATAGTGTCAAGCAACAATTGGCTAACCTTTTTTCGTCTAGTAAATTAACAATTTCCTCCATCCATCCTTATATACCTTCAAGTTTTATTATTTATATTATTTCTATTATATTTATGGTCCTGTTGCTTCTTTGTTTGTTTTACTCTCATAATTGTAAACACCAACTTATCTCCATGACGGCTGTAATCTTTGTTTTTCCCCTCACTATATCGTGTAAAGAGAAGATTATATTCAATATTTGTAAACATACTAGGATTTCTATGCCGCATCGACAATACTGTGTGAAACAAGCCCACGACAATTTTCACTTGTATTATTATTATTATTATTATTACCCTAGCTGTTATCATTATTATTATTTCCACTTTATATGCTGCGTGTTTTTAACATTACCCCTATTGTAAATGTGGGAAATTTTCTATGTGATTAATTTTATTTATAATTTGAGGAAATTAGATGCAATATTGTGATTAATGCTGAAAATTCCATTCTGTTTCACAAGTACTGCTTTTGGAATAAAGTAAATCATTATTATTATCATCTGACCACTGATAAATTACATTGGAGACTGAAACTGGTATTGTACACAACATTTAAAAGCAAAACTAGTGGGATGAAAAATAGAAATCAACCACATAACACTTCTAAATGTACATGAAGAAGACTAAACGATTAGGTTTGATTTGTTTAACTAAACTTGTTTTCCTAAAAACATATCTCAGAAGACCAGTTAGTGCAAACAGTATAATAGCACAACAAATACTGGACATTAAATTCGATGATATATTGAAAAGAATCAGAAAACAACACAGTTTAAAGACTGTCCAAATTGAATCGTTAAAAACTAACCTTCTGGTTTACGAACATACAGTGTTAAGTAATTGTTTGCTCTAGCGAATTGGTTGTTCGGTGAGAAATCCGTCCTTTCCTTTGTAATTAGTCATAAGTATTTAGAAATGTTGTACTGTATTATTTGTGATGTCGATTCATTGACTGTTAGGTTTGTTGGAATTCAAATTAGTTCTCGTTACAAAGCAACATCATTCGATACCAAGAGGTACTAAACAGTTGTTTAGCCCCATTTCAGTACTCATCAGCAGGACACCCTCATGAGACTACCAGAGATCAGACCATAGACCCAGATGCTGTGAGATGAGAGCATTAAGTTCCAGTTACTGGGTTGAACTCTAGTGATTAAGATTCCCAAACTAGGAGGAAACAGAAATCCACATCCATATGTGATGATGTAGTCAATGAGTTGATGCATGTAATATTACCGATGATTTGACTTTTTAACACAACATATATCAAGAAAGAGGAAGTTACGACATAGGGTTTTTCATTGACTTAACTGTTCCCACTCTTTTTAACTACACACAAATAATTCAGAAGAAGCTTGAAGTTGCTGCTCTTTGCAACAGAAAAAAATATTTTTCATAAATAAAATTTATTCTTACATTCCTTTTGATCTAATTTATGGTTTTTCTCTCCTTATTTTATTTTTCCGTTTAGTCACACAGCTCGTTTTTAATTTTCTCATTTTGTGATTCTACTATTGTATACCGATTAATAATCTGCCAATGAGGTTTCCTGATGACATTGTATCACAGTGTTAGAAAATGACGCTCAACAGATATAACAAAAAAGCCACTCTTCAATTCAGTATTGCGAATCAATATTAACCATTTAAAGATGTACACTGAAATATGATGGTGGAAGATGACATGTTCCGGTACATTTAAACAAAACAATAAAAAAGGACATTATCTGTCATATAATATAACTTAAGTGTTGCTTTACTGGGTGCTTTTCGATTGCATACAACCCAAATGATTACCAATACTTGGTTAAACCTAATATATCCATGTATAAATGTTAATTATTGTGATCGTTCAGAGGTTCAATAATGTAAGGTGGAGAATAAAATAATCAACGTCTAATACACGTGATGTAGTCAAGTATAGATGGACATTTATAGGACAATGGAAAGAATTTTCTCGACTAAGTAATATGGGTTTAGATATTTTAGTTGAATGTTACGCAATTATATGGAAATTTATATGCATTAAATTAATAAGGGTTAATGAGATAAGAAACTAGAATAACAATAAAAATGGCAAAATAAAAGCAGAAATATTTTTATGAAGTAGTGATAACATGAACAACAATTATAGTCTGAATTCGAATAGATCTAAAAAGTAGGAATACAGGAATAGTGAAAAGTTAAGAATGTCTACTTTTTCTCTCATAAAGATCATTCATTACGGAGATAGCGAAAGGTTAACCTTCGTTCCATTCTGAATAAATAGTTTGGGTTTGACATCGATCCTTTTTGTTGACAATAATGAAAGCTTTCAATGTGTTAGTTTCGAATCATGTGCAAAATACATTGTAGGCGATTGTACTTTAGCGAAGCACGGCTTTAAGGTTGGTATGTGTGCAATGATTCAGTTCGATTATCATCTCGCAGTTGTTCCAGTATATTCCATTCTTCACTAGCACTTAAAGTGACAAATGCAATTGAAATTACTGAAGTCTGATTTCTGGTCCACTTTCAACGCAATGATTGAACAAAGCGCCTCATATGGTTGTAAAACATTCTCTCACGAATAAGTCCTAGATATGGAATTTATAGTTTACTTGTTGATTTCCTCTCTTTGCAACAATTCCCATGAAAGTTTGCTTTGTCTACTATGCTGCCGTATCAAAGTCACTTTCTGTTACTTACCCATTAATTTTGAATGATTTTCAAAAGATATTTGTTACTTAATAGATGCCAATGAGTAAACTTCAGTTAAATTTAAAGAGTTGCTTCCGGCAGTTAGTTTGAGCCCCTTAGAGGGGGTGTTGACTGCCTGATTGGGATCCTTGAATGGCTATGAACAAAGGTGATATGACTCAAACCGTTGTCAGTAGCACGGATGCATTCACTCTGTGTCGTCTCCAATATCCACTAAACTGTCATTTTTTTTTCGCAATTTGCTATTCTTTGTTTCTCATATTTGTAATTATTCAATCTCTTTTTACTCTCTTTTGTCTTTGTGTACGACATGGAGTGTAGCATCTTGAACTGATGTACTTCTATACGAGTTTGTATGCTGAAACTTAGTCAGTCAATCTCTTTCGAACGTAACACCTGCGCTCTTTGAAAAGGTTTCCCAACTTAAATTTTCTTATAAACAGTTACACTAAGTATTTAAAAGCTTAAATACTAACTTCCATCCTAAGGTGAATGTCTCGTTCCTCTGTATTACCTTCAGTCTCTTTGGATACACAAGTCTTAAAGGTTGATTCGATCTTCCTTATCAGACGTCATTATAAACCTTATGTCACCATGGATTTTAATAAATTCTTGAGATTCCCCTCTATTTATTAGAAGATATCAGAATCACTGAAAAGTCTTTATATACATCGATTATTAGTTGGTTAATTCAAAGTTTACGCTGCTGAATGAAGACCCAAACAAATCAAAATGAAATCATAATATCCCCCAAATGTTGTTTTTATTGATTTATTAAAAATTATAACAGAGACGAAAATTATGAAATTTATACATAACTAATACTGAAGATGTTCGTGTGCAAACAGATGAAGAACTGCAAGACATATTCGATTTATAGGTCACTGACTTAGGCATGAGTTTAAATTGCAATTAACATATCGCAATATTCCAACCTATCAAAATGATTCCTAACCTATCGTATATTTATGCATGGTTACAGTTGGTGGCACAGTGGTTAGGACTCTTGCCAACCATGCACATGGTTCGAGGTTCGACCCCCTGCCGACGTACACCTGATATCTATGGTTGGCCTGAGAAATTTTGGCTACTGATATCCATGCTGAAAGTTCCATACTTGTACCAAAAATACGGTGTGGAATCAAGCTGTAATCAAAAATATTAAAAAAAATTAGAAAAAAATTGCATAATGATACTCTATTCTAGAGCATAACAAAAATTGACGAATACTAAAAATCGTACTTATCGACATGTCTCCCTTATTATCATCAGCATCCATTCAGAAAATGCATCTGCCTCAATGATTACCAAAGGTAGAAAACTGCTTCATCTATTTCCAACTCAAACATATTTATTTGCTAATACTTCCGTGCAGAGAAGTGCACTGGAAAAGTAGATAATATGCTGTACTAGTCTTATTAGGACTGAATGAGACTAGTCGTCTAGTGATATGTTATCTGCTGTATATGGAACAAAATTTCAAATAATTAAATTGAATACATGACATCTAATCATTAACATAAAAGCGTCGTGTGTCGCATCATATGAGGGGGGTTGGGGTCTGGAAGTCTCAGTCGAGACAGTGAAAACAAAATCTTGGTACTTAAAAAGAATAAGTAGTTATTGTCCGACTGTTTTGAAAGCAATCAGAGTAAACCAGAACTTCTGTACTCCATTTTTTTACCTTGCTTTTGATTAAAATTCATTTGTTCCAGTTTAGTTTTTGTATTTTTTCGTATTACTTCGACTCTTATACACTGTGTAATCGATAATATCCGATATGCTATACGTGCAAGTCTAACTGTTCATAAAACTCTCTACAAAATATCTTTTCAATGTTTTACATATCTCTTTGAGCAGGTCGTCTAATTTTTATGTTTGTCATTATTTCAAAATAAGTTTTATTAGGACCAATGAAATCTCTGTATGCCATACAATTTTGTCTCATATTTTGTGATTCCCCAGTAGTGGCCACTTTATAACCTAATCTGAAATCGAGTCATGGACCGTCAAGTTATGTGTTAATTTCTTTCAGCTTCTGTCAGTTGCAAACGTTTACATGTATGCTGTTTGCACTTATACAATAAAGTACTTAATAAATTCATTATATGCAACAAATATGCTTGTTTTTGTTACACTGAAGTTACTCAGTCGATTAAAATGAATGTAGAATATATGTACACCAGATGCATTGTTTCTCTGCAGTACGAAAGTGGCAGTGATCACGTCACTGCAATAAACTAATTCTGTTCATGTGAAAGTCAAATGCACATATTATTTGCATTCATTTTAACAATTTATGATTGAATGAATTCCACTCGAAAGCCTTTTTTTTGTTAAAATTCTAATTTACTATCTTCTTATGAGGCGAGTAAATAGCGTAGTGGTTCACTTTGCATACTACTATTGTTGTATTTTTTAGACTGATAAACTAACACTTTCATCAATCAGGTAAGGATTGGACTGTAAGCGAAAACTAACTACTGAAAACATCATTCTGCCACTTTGAAGTCACGTGATATTACCATTTATAACGGAGAACTAACCAGTTAAATAAGCTTTTCAAATATCGATCCCCCCCACCCGAAATAAAAGTATTTATATCAATGCCAGGTGAGATTCAAATGGTAGCTCATAAGAAACCCTAGTGCTGATTACTTAAGCAATCTCAAGAGCATACATTGCAGTGAACCGTATTCTTCACCATTTCTTGTATTCCAAGTAAAAATAGGCCTTTGAGCTCACAACTTTCAGCAGCGCGATGGGGTTACTAGGCGCGCTTTATTAGGAGTTACTACAGGTTAGATGAGGTATAACAGTACTTCGGCCTAACCTCCATCGTGACTACCAGGTACTGCACCAATAAACCACCGTGTTCTTATAACTAACGAACTTGGTTGGTTTGAGTCTATTAGGATAACACATGATCCAGTGCGACCTAGATAAATTCTGCTAACTTAGCTTACAAGGAGTGAAACCCACATCCTGCATTCTATCGGTAACTACATGGTAGATTATACATTTTGACACTTACTTTATCTCTTCTTTGAAACTTTTCATGACCGATTTAGAAGGTAATTAGTTCAGCAGAGCTCAGTGTTTTTCACTATTAACCAGAATATGTAAAATAATTTCTCTACTTCTGCTTTTAAAGGTTAATGTGAAACAATCATGTCGGATAAGTATGATAAACTTTATGAGAAAATTGTTGAATGCATTAAAAAGCCTTCAAGTGAAAGGTTAACTGAAGAAATTGAAGAAATCTATCCATGGTTTATTGCAAAAGTGAAATTCTTCTCCAATCTTAAACCTGGTAATCATAATGTTTAATTTGTTAAGCTAATATTCTAAATAAATTACTTACCTATAGAAATTGTCAAGGATATCATAAAGAATTGTGAATTCGCTGAACGTGAAACAGACGAGATAATTATACGTCAGTTTGAACAAGGCGACTGGTAAGAATCAGATGTTGGTTTCAGTTGTTTTGAGTTTTTAAAGATTCGATTGATTTCATAGTCAGTTTTGTCACTGAAATGATATTGGCTGATAAAGCCCTGAAGAGCCAAACACACTGGACATATGATTCTTCAAGATTTGTGAGTCCTGAGTAACTCAACGGAATGTAGATGTGGTCATTATCAAAATCTGATTGCTTTGGATGTGACTCATTGTACATTTGAAACAAAAGAAAAGCAGCTGTCCAGTGCGTCTCAGGTGATATCAATCAGTTACGAAATCTACCTTGATATATTTTGAACTATTTTGAGTTTTGAAATTTCGAGTTTCGAATTAACTATTGCATGAGTATTTAGCTATAATCAGTTCATTTTAGCTTCCTTTTCTGTTTACTCATGTCATACCAACACTGCTTATCTTACTTGTTGTTTTGAGGTGGTTGTGTTCTGTGAACTGGATAGTTAATTTGCGAAGCTTCCATTGCCCCAACACTAGACAACATATTCAGCACATACTTAAATGTGTTGAAGTGAGTTTGTAGATTTTTCCACAAGTTCACCAAAAGTCATCTCTCCCGGTTCGTGACCTTGAACGTGACTGTTGGTTTTCGTGTGTTTTCACATGCTCTAGGCTACTTCTATTGGAACTGATTGCTTCCTTGACTTGAACTTTGACCCTTTGTGTGTGAGGTTTCTTTCTTATCGGTTGATAAATTTTGTCTATCTCGATGTGTCTATTGAGTGATGATTCACTGGAATGGTAAGCTTCTAAAATTCTCTAGCATTCTTGTTGTTTCCTCTGCCTAATATTTGAACGTTGTCCCAGTCGAATCGGTATCCGTGGTTGTCTGTATGAAGTGATATGAAGGAGTGGATATCATGTCTTTTGGCGGCTAGCTTATGTTCGTGGATACGAAGACAAAGAGGGGGCATCCACTTTGGCCAATGTAGTGTTTTCGCAGTTGTTACAATTTATTTTGTAGATACTGATGTTGGTTTTATCTTCTTTCGCCGTTGAGTCTTTTGGTTGACATAGAACTGAGTGAAGTGACTTTGTTGATTTGTGTACGACGTCGATTCTTAAAAGTTTGAAGAGTCTTGTTAGTGATTTCTGAGATATCCTTTATATATGGTAGGGCGGTTTTCTTTGTGCTTTCCTTGGGGCTTTTGGTTTGATAGGTTGGCTTGGGTGTATATGTCTTTTGATGAAATTCTGTGGATATCCATTCTTTTGGAAGACGTCCATGAGATATTTTTCTTCAATTTTCCTTAAGGTGGGAGTGCTGCAACGCGTCTTGGCCCTCTTGAATAGTGTTTGTATGCAATTCCTTTTGTGTGTTATTGGATTGTTGCTGTTGTAATTCAGGATTTGGTCTGTGTGGGTTGATTTTCTATAAACTTGGCTTTCTCACTCCCCTGTGGTTGTTCGCTTGACAACGACGTCCAAAAATGGGATTTATTTCGCGGATGTTTCTCCTCTTGTGAATTTGATGTCGTTGGAGACGTTGTTTATTAAGTTGTGAGTTTTATCTAACTCGTTTCTTCTGATCATACAAATGTGTCGTCGACGTAGCGTATCCAAATCTTGGGTTTGATCTTTGGTAGAATTATGTTTTGGAACCTATGCATCACTGATCCTGCAATCAAACGTGATACTGGTGATCCCATGGGTGTTCCTTTGACTTGTTCATATATTTGGCCTTTGAATTAGAAGTATGCTGTTAGGCATAGGTTTATGCATTCCATCCAGCTTGTGTGTTTTGATAAATTAGCTAAAGAAACCATGAAGCAATTACATAGCAACGACGAACACCTTCCACAACAATCAAAAATGTTAGGGTTACTCAGCAAATAAACATTCACTCATTAAAATTATGACAAGAAATAAAATCCATTAAGTAATTCCATATTAGTTTGTTTATTAGATGTATCACACAGTGAAACAGTATTATATACTGGATGACGTTTCGAACACAATTTATTGTTCATAATCATATCAGTCTTGATCATACGACTTTGAACTTTTAGGCTTATAGTTTTCTTTATCTTCTCCTATTTGTTCTCCTCTAATAAATCAGCAAAATCAGCCACTTTCAAAAAGTCAAAAAATAGTCAAATCAAAAAGTTCAACAAATTATTATTAATTTACACATATATTAAAAATCCATTAGGGTTCAAACCTCAAAAATTAAGCGAACAATAACTCATCTAACAGAAGGAACAATCAAATGCAGAACAAAACTCTAAGAAAACTTAAACGTCAAATGAAAAAGACACTTTCTCCAATTTCAGTAAAACAAGCTCACTTTGAAAACGCAAACTAAGGAGAAACAGTCAAAAATTACTTTACTTATGCAAATTAAGAGTCTGACTTTCAACAAGACATCAGTAAAACAGAAATGCCAACGTGTTGTTCACAGATAATAAAGGAAATCCACTTACATATAAAGTTAGATAGAACCTGAGGCATAGCCTGATGCTGAAAGTTATCAGTAAAATATAAAGTTTAAATAAATGAAAAATCACTGGAATATTCACAAACTGAGATGTAAACTGTCAGTGGTATATCCAAGAAATTGACTGTGTGATTTAAAAGGAATTGTTTATTGACAGGTTTCATGATTGTGGGGAAAACCTGGCTCTCGCTGTTGCAATTAATTATTCTACGCAATGAGAGCATCTTTCTTTCCCCTGTATCTGTCACTCATAAACAGACCTAATAAGTTATTGTCTGACGAGAGTAGATTGTGAGTAATTAGTTCGTTTCATTAGCTTTCATCATAAGTCAACATTCAAAAACTTTGAAGAACCGGACCATGACCTCCTGCAAAAAACCTCATTCCACTGCTAGCCAACAGCTAACTTTCAAATAGATTTATTAAAAGTCCTAATTGAAAACTTCAAAAACTAAAGTCATACAGTCTAAGTGAGAAAACATCTACATGATAATAAGAGAGGGTGATAATAACCGATGTCAGCAAGACTTAATTAATATTTGAGATCTCATGGCCGCGTTCATCAATTCATCCGGTATTTCAAGTGAACACTGCCGAAAAAGCTAAATAACTCTTTATTGATAGCTTGTTTTTAATTGCGCCGTTGCTAAAATTTGTCTCGTAGTAATAGTCATTATCAATGAGACTGTCAATGCTCTAACAGCCCTAAGCACTGAATGAATTTGTGGTTTCTATTCCAAAAGAAATCTGATTAACTTACTAATATTTTTGGGTGGAAAGTGTTTTGTACTGAAATTCGTTTAATATACCCTATGAAGTCCCGTTCTTTCAAAGAATTAGGGAATTCACTTTACAGGGAAGGCAACAGAGACTCCAAGAGGCAGCATCATCTATCAAAATATGCAATTTTTAATTAATAAAACTGTAGAAGAATTCCACAAGAATTTACCCATAATGGAAAAGCTCCACTTTTTAGGTCAAAAATTAATGTTCCGTAAATTATCTTCCCTAAATCTCTGCTGCGATCAAACGTTTACAGGCTATAAAAACTTGTGTATTTTTTTAGATGACAGAAATGAGCAGAAATATGATTTGAAGTGTAGTAATAGACGAAACGCTGAATATACTCAATAAATTTCAGCAAACAGATATACACTGAGGTGATTAGGATCTGTGAATACTTACACTTTGAAAATGATTTAGAATTCTGTTTTGTTTCAAGATGGATATCCACACAGTATAATATGAGTTACAAAACTATTAAAAACTATGTAGCACTGTACAGCTGTTTTATCCCACTTTGGAACTAATCAATAGTAGGCACCCATAAGTCCACTACAGGTTGTATAGCTTACCGAATTTTTATTGATATGTAAGACAGCTCAGCTCCACTTAGTTATTTATATCTACAAATGTTTTAAAATGATCAGGATTTTAGCTGTTTAGAGGAAAAAAGGTTGGGCTATACCTACTTACATCAATTTTACAAGGTGAATACTGGCTTTCAGCTAATCGCTTAGTATAAGGAATGATGAGACGAAATATTTTCAATTTTGAGTCAATAAAATTTAAAAAGTACTCAAATGTCATTATTTTATCGATGAGTTTGTAATATTATGCTTAGATTAATGATGGTAATTTAGTAGATGCTTGATAGTATATTTTATTGATTACCTTTCTTTCAATTATTTTCGTTGCCTTGGTGATTATTTTAGAAAATTACACTTGAGGAAACAATGAAGAATTAACTTCGTAAAGTTTATTTGTTAATAATAATAATTGATTGAAATTGGGTCAGAGACTGTCCTAATGTAATTATTACTGAAGAATTTTAAAAAATTCAAAAAAAGGTTATTAAATTCAATAAGATTATACCATGTAATTTTGAAAAGAGAAGTGTGTTGTGGCAAATTAGATATTAGTACTGATAAATAGAACAGATTGTGGATTCTCAATAAAACTCTAAATTAGAGACTGTTGTATCGTGGCTATAAATTCATGTGGAAAAGGGAAACAGCATCATTCAGCTTTGCAACGTTCAACAAAAAGTTGTGAATTTATAGCGCCGCACATAAGCGTTCGGAGAAGAACGAATCTCAGCCAAATCAGTAGAATTTGTTTATTATTAGGGTGCTTATTTTAGTAATAAGCAGTCTGAAATAGAGAATGATAATAATCCATATGTGGGAAAATCTGTTAGTCTAGTAGCCTGGTATAGTACCACATGGTGGATATGTAAAATGTGAACCTAATATCTATTCAAAAGCTTGAATTCAAGGACCATTGGACCGGGTCCCAGTGGCTCGATGGTCTACGAGATCGCTCACCTTGTAACCAGAAGGTCCTGGGTTCGACCCCTGTGGGTGGGTGCGTACTGATGAAGAGTCCTAAACTAGGACGAAACAACTCTCCTGTAATTCTAGGTTCTCCAGTGGTTCCCTAACTGATGTCAGCTCATGACGATTTCCTCCATGCATTCAAAAGTGTCATAGTATTACTTCTAGTGATACCACAGCCGATCGTCTATTTGACTGTTATTCCACA